CTTTGGTCAAAGCTAAAAAGAAATTCGGGTTACTGATAATCAGGAGACAAAAATAAAATACTTGAGAATGATGGTAAAAAACAAATAGATGTGTATTTCAATAAATTCTCAATAGTATTCCGTGTCCTTACAAATGATGATACTTCTTCCTTTTATAGATAATTCTAGGTAAAGGAATGAAGCCTCAGCTTTAATGAAATAATCATGAGTAATAAATGACATTAAATAAGCCGTTATACAATCATTCCTATTAAATATCAATTTCGTAACGTATCAAGTATTTAATAATGAATTTGGACTCTTTTCTGTCATCAGATCTTTGCTTTTAATGCCTTCTATCCGTTGGCTGTAAATAATTTAAATTGGTACGAGACTCGTATTTATACGTCGTCTCGTGCCTATTTAAATTCTTCTTCCCGTGATTGTTTCCATCCGTGCCTCTTAGTCAATTGCTGCGCTTTGACTATTTAACTAATCCACGTGTCATGCCACATCATCTTTTAATATAAACTCAGTTTTTTCCCAATACAATCCTATTACGATTTGTCTTTAGGCCTCCAATACTATTGAATCGCCTCTTCTCCGAGCAAAAAGGAACAAATCGTGAATTCCTATAGCTAAACCAATAAACACAAAAATGGGGCAGAGGAAGATGTAGCAATGGACGATAAAGCAAAGCGAATGGGGTAATCTTTCCATATTGGTTTATAGTTTTGTTACGACTAGGTAAATAAATGTTAAAGTTCAATAGACTTTTCATTTCTTTGATGATGGACCAATATTCGTTTCGGGTATAGACAACAAACCTAACAATGATTTCCTACCAGTCTAGCCATGAATTCGATATTAATAATAGATAGAATTTGGACCTAGGTGTTTTTTTCTTTCATAATAAATGGTTGGTATTTTTTGTAGGAAACTGAGCTCCACTAGATCATTTATTTCTTGATCTTTATTTGTGTAACAGCTTTTATTCTTGTCTTTAGCTCCTCTATGAGTGGTCGCTTTCGTTTACAAGCTTGCAAGGAGTGATGATTATGTTTGTTAATAATATTAATCACAATGTGAGAGTACTGAAATTCATTTAATATGTAATTAGCTATTTCACATCAAGTTCTAACTATATAAGAAAACAACACAAAATGATAAGTTAAAATCCCAACAAATGAGTATAAGGAAAAGATGATTTTACAGTATGTTTACAAAAGAAGCATAAGTCTGAATTTATAGGTTACAATTGTAACAACGATTTTGACCGTTTTGGAGTAAATGCATCACTTTTGCCTTCCGGCCCAATTCTCATTTTTGCGAGTGCAACTCATTTGATTTATAGTTCTTAATTATTAATTATTTAACCGATAAAAGACTCTTCCTTTTGAATTATTATTCACTTACTTTTCAATACAACCTTGCTACAGGTGCTATATCTAATGGAGTGACAGGACCCGAGACCGAAGTCGAAATGTGGATTTTGCCGGAGTAACTTTTGCTTAAATAATGTTTATTATTTTAGAGCTCATTCATTAACAGTTAAAGCTGTTGTTCTAAAATCCACAACACATAAGATTAAAATTCTGACTCCGTCTCTGGAATGACAACCAAGGTGCATAGCACCATAGGTAAATAAAAGTGGCCAGATTGATCACACTACGTTCATGTAATACGATAGTGATAAAGATTGAGATCACCATAGTACTATATACGGAGCCATTTATAATGCTTTCGCATCCAGAGTAGATCACAATAATGCTTTAAAAATGATTATTCATCAATCTTTAGGCAGAAATAATTGAGAAAAGCCTAAATGATGGTTTCTTTTAACACAAAAGTGGAGTACCTCATTTCTCCAAAACATGTATATACATCATGACTCTCATTTCTAGTGGTCCTTACTATATTACGTTGCAGGTTGAAATAATAATTAGTAAGCATTTACACCTACATGTTCAGTGTCTATATGTGTGTATAAATATGTGCAGACAGACTAGCAGCTAATTAATATAGTGAAAATGAAATTGTTTGCCTTTCACTGTCCTTTTTCCCCTCCTCTCAAACGGAGTGTTGGACGTACGGGCAAAACTAAAAAGTTCGGCAAAAGAAAAAAAAATTGTTATATATTCATATAGTATGAGAAATAACTTAAAATTCCTTTTGATGATTATAATTTTGTCCTTCTTCCTTTTCGGGTTTTCAAATCTTATCTTTCAGTTCACAGATAATTTAGAAAAATAAGGATAATAAATATACCGTGCTAAGTTCTACTATTTTTCTTGTTTCTCAAAAAAGCCTGCATGCATCTCTAGTGAATTGAGAAAAAAATGAATTGTTTATTGTAAAGCAATTAATGAGACAAAAAATTCGACAGCACGAGTCACTATAGTTATCTCTATTGTCTTAAAATAGCGTGCCAAAAACTTCATTTTTAAATTGAATGTTGTGAGCCGACAAATAACAATTATTTTTATCCCGTTAAGACACACATCCATCACTAGTACATTTAACTTGGTTTTGCATAATAAAAATAGCAGATTTATCTGGCAAAGTTTTGATCACCCAACCAATTCACTTTCTGGGTCTAAGCTTTAAAAGCTAAAAGCTCATCTAGGCTAGTTAGCAGAAAGCCCAATAAAGAGCCTGTTGATGGGCCTTATAGTTTTGTCCTGGAAGGGAGACATTCCATCTTCTTTCACATTTGGGATCTTTACACAAATAGTCAGTTGGATTCACTATTTATTATTTTGATTGGTATACAGAGACTATACATATATTCTACATCTATTGACTATTTTTTAATTTAAGAGATTAGGGGTGTGGCTATTTAATTTAATTGTTCTGCATTTTTTTCCTTTTACTGCTTTCGGATTGTTTGTGGTACTTAACCAACTGGAAATCAGCTGGCAATAAGCATTTTCCCTTAGAGAGCTCAGGTTTTAAGCGTAAAAAATGGATCAATTGAAGCCGCTGAACTAGGGATGTGCATTTGGATCCAATGCGCTCAATTCGGACTTTCGAATTTCGGATATGGATTATATTTTTTAAAATTTCGGATATCCGAATCGAATTCGGATTGGTATCGATCCGAAATACAAAATCCGGAATTATTAGGATATGTATTTTTAAACTTTAATTTTAGGGTTAGGTCTTATCTCATCGAGACTCTCTGTCTCTAAGTTTTGTGCAGAGAGACTGCTGCTCTGTTCCGCCTCTCTTCTCTGTGTTCTGACTATTGGCGGCGACTAGATGACGCCTCTTCCTTTATCGACTCGAATAATCCTATGAATTCAGCTTGCCTAACCTTGCAGCAGAGATCTTTTGGTATAAAACGGTCTGGAATTGTGAAAGAAGATCTAAGTCATGCCTGCATTTTATGTATTATGAGATCAGTAATTGCCTTGTATGTTGCTAAGGTGTGTGTTGACAAATTTTGTTCTGTTGTTGATGCAGAATGAATGAAATGATGCGTGGTCAGAGAGGATGGAGGGAGCTGGCTGCGTTAGCGGATAATTTTGCAATAGCCTTAATAGTATGTATAATCCGATCCGATATTCCGAGATATTTATTCGATCCAAATTTTAAAATCTGATCCGATGTTAATTCGGATTGGATTCGGATTGCATTTTATAGAATCCGAAATCTAATTTTCAATTCGAATATGTTAAATCCAATCCGATCCATGAGCAACCCTACTTTGAACTCATGGACAATACCATTTTGGTGATTGGTTGACTATATATTAGTTAATAATCTGTTTCTCGTATTTATTGTGCTACTTTCTTCAGATTGGGCAACTTTATCCAACTATTAAATCGTCTAAACATAGTTTTTTTACAACTGCCAGCAATGTAAATACACACAATAATATAATTTGTATATCAGCTCTTTGACACATTTTGCCAAATCCTCATGTTTTAAGCATTAATAACGAAGTTTAGACAAATCTTGTAGTAGTAGTAGATCTTGGTTATAAAGGAAGAAGCGAAATCAGAGAACTAACATAGTCTAAGTCAAAAGTTAATTACATCCTGTTGTTCGTGTGACCAATTGAAGAGTGGTTGAATTAACACGTCTTGTGGCATTGGCCATGGATGTATTATTATTTTAAAAAAAAAATCGGCTACCTAAATATAGTTTAAGCCAAATTATGTTAATTTATTAGAAGGAAAAAAAATGCTTTTGAGGAGAAACAGAAGCAGTTTCTGATAAGCATAAAAAAGTAATTTCTCTCCGCAATTTTCTAAGAAGCACTTTTGAGAAAAATGTATTTAGAAACAGTTTTTAAAAGCTTGGTCAAATACTAATTACTACTCAAAAGTACTTTTCAAATTAATTAGCAAATACAAACTGATTATCACAAAAAACATTTCTCAAAATAAGCTGATTTTAGAAGTTTTGCCAATCAGGGTATAAGACTACTGCATGCAAAGATAGATACAGCAAACATTACAAGTATTTGGGCTTTTTCCCCCACGATCCGAATTCTTGTTGGTCCCTTAGGAAAAGAACTATGGTCAAGGTCGACAAATCCTCCTCTCATATTAGTATTAGTTATGTTACATCAAGATCTCAAAGTAGACACATCTTTCTAATTTTGGCAGGCTTTATATGTCACTCATTACATCTACTTTTGGTCAAGCTTTCTTTTCTTTCTTAGGTATATATTTTTTATTGTAGAGATACTTATACTTCAGCTCCACTTGGATACAAAAGTCTCAAATTCACCAATATTTCTAACAATCCAAAAAGAGAAAGAAAAAAAATAGAGTACAAGGAAGCTTATTGAAAAGTTAATTATCCAATTTGAATTTTGTCTCAAGCATGCTTTCCTTTTGTTCTCAATTATAAAGACCAAATATTTTTTAAAAAGTAAAGAAGTAGTAATTAATAGTGCAGTAATATTTTTAAGGAGAATCCAACTATCAATAATTGACCTCAAGCATAGTGAATTCACAATGAATATTAGTGGGCCTTCACCACAGTGTGCACTAAGAGACAATTGGAGAAGAGCGTAGGGCCTTTCACGTGGATTGGCAAGGTTTTAGAAAATTAAAGCTTTAGCATTAGTGTTATTAAAGGTGTGTGTCATTTCATATCATCTGAATATCCACTACTATAGTATTTTTCTCTTTTCAATCCACTAATATTCCTCTATTAAGTGATTGGCACTTGATTTGATGATCCTAATAGGATAACAACATTTAAAGGTGGGTAATGAAAGCTTTTAAGTCATTGAGAGGAAATACATATTACTAATATTCGATTGTTGCTTCATAATACGTCTAAATCTTGTTTATCTGATTTATCCGATTATATTAGATCGCCTAAAACTCTAAATTAATTTAGCTAATAATTGGATAACACAACATAAATCATGTTTTGTGATTTTTTTTTTTTTTGCACCGATGTCTCTTAAATTATCCTTGGAAAATGAAAAGAGTTGGAAACAACACGTTAAATTTTAATTAAAAAAAATCGCTTGCCATAAGTGCATCATTTAATTAGATGTAATGTAAAGTTTAATAACACGATCGTAGTTCTATCCACGCAAGTAAAACAAGTGAATGGTCTTCGACGGTATTGTTTTCTTTGACGTAAGACTTTAGTACTTTGCTTCAATTCTAGTCGTGAAAGGAAAAAGATACGATCTTTAGTGGTTTTAGCTTGAGGTTGAATTTATGATGTTGTTCTCACAATCTTACACTCATTATTACGATAGAAAATAAGATACCACGCGTGAAGTTTCAGCTATCAAACAATTAAACGAAAAAAACATGATTTCTCACAGTAATTTTTAATAAATTCTTGATAAGTTTTACTGAAAGGTCAGTACTTGGTGGTCCAATTAAAAGTTATTCCATTTATATCATTGCCAAATTAAATAAGCGATGTTTTAAATATATAGTTCCTTGTGTGCCTTTTATATTATAGACATAATCAACAAAAAACCACAAAATATAGTACGGATTTGTTTTCTATTTAGACAAGAATAATTGTGGGGGGCCTATCTGAAACCACTTAAAAGTCTTGATGCCAAGTGAATTTTTTTATCTTGCTGAAGAGGGGACAGTGGACCTAATTAATTAGCTAACTTTAGGGAAAAAAGCTAGCTGTACTAATGTACTAGAGGGGAAGATAAATTGGAAAAATGAAAGAGACCATGCAACTAAAAGCCTAATGTTATTCATTCACAAATGTTATCTTATTAATTGCACGGTAGTAAAATATTTTCGTTTGGAACCGCAGTTAATTACCATTTTAAAATTTAAAATATAATTGATGGATTTTAATCTATTTTTTGCAAAATGTTCTCTCTCTCGTTATTATCTCAGTGAATGTACATTTTGTAACACGATTAACCGTAGGGTTCGACCATTTCAAGAAATTATTTTGTTGTTCGACATGAATTTTAATTATTTGTCAAACACACAAAATTTTCTTTCCAAAAGAAAATATCAGTTTCAGCATTTTCTCAAATTATACATATGTAAGTAAAGTGGCCTCTTGACTTAAAGATTTCTGCAGTAACTTCGACAACAATTGAACAATTTGGTATTAACTGATAAGAAAAGCAAAACAAAACTATTAAACAAATCTAACTGCCACATATGTTATCTCTGTGAGGTAGGGGTAAGGTGCGTACACGCTATCCTCCCCAAACCCCATTTATGGGATCAAATTGGGTTTGTTGTTGTTGTTTTTTAACTGCTATATATGTAGCCATTTCTTTAGTTTTAATTTTTTTTCACCGACATGTTCTTTCGTTTGCTTTTACCTATTTTTCTTTAATTTGTTAGGGGTAAGTTTGAGTTCGATATAGTAGAAGAGAAAATAATATTAGATGAGAAAAATATTTAGTAGGGAATTCGAACCCTGTCGCAATAGTTACTGTGCAACCCCTATCCTATAATTTATATACAGTCATCGGCGGATGTGGAAGGGTTCTGGCAGCTAGAACTAATGAACTTCAACTTCAACATAGAGTGTAAGCTTATTATATATGTATTGGGAAAAATTAAGTTTATATATGAAATTCATTATAAGATGACACGTGGACTAGTTAAAGAGGAACAAGTGATAGAGAATAATCAAAGAGGCACGAGCTTCAACATGCACGGGCAGTCATCCAGATAAAAGGCAAGGAAGGCAGGTGCTCGAACCTCTTTATGACGGAAGAGAATGAATCTGATAGAAAATAAGGAATAAATAAGAACTATTGGGCATTAAATACAGAAACGTTAAGGAATCTGTATTGAATCAAATATGATTGTTTATTGTAACGTTACATTAAATGTCACTAAATGCCATTAATTGACAATAATGGCTCAATTATGGAAGAAACGAAACGTACCACTTAGAAATAGCTATAAAAGGAGAAGATTGATCATTTGTAAGGACACGAAATATCACCGAAATATACTGATTTACTTTATTTTCTTCTTTTCATCTGATTATTATCAAAGCCAATTTCTTTTATTCATTTTATATATTGATTAGCAGTAACTCGAGTTCTTCTAAAATAAAGTTTTGACCGAAATTACTATTTTTGGTTAAACAAATTGGTTCCATTACCGGGAATAAGATAATCGTTTACTTTCTTAATCAATTCTTTCATCAAAACTTACCATGTCGAATAACAACGACAACAACCAAGATACTAACATCAGGAGAATGATGGGGATGATAGGACACCACTTCCCTCACCGCATGATTCACAACGTCAGTCACGAGAAAGAACTCCAGATGGCTCTGAAACAAATAATGGGGTTGCAAACGAACAAACATTTGATGATGCATTAAAAAATCTCATTGCTCAACAAGTCAGCAATGCCCTCCGAGCTTTTCCCAGGCAATTGCCAATTGCATCACCAACACCAACTCCGAATAAGAATACTTTGGAAAACCCACGTTCTGGGCTCATTAATTCAGGCACTGGTGGAACTCCAAGCGAGTCACACGATGGCGAGCCAGGTAACATAGTTAATTCTACAAAATTTAGATCTAACCTTGCAGAAGAAGCTCAAGGAGCAAAGCGACCGTATAGAGCAAATACTTGGAGTACCACCTGTAATTAAAGGAATCGATATGGATAAGTACTCACAACAACCATGGAAGCCTAGTGCAGCTCCGGTGCCAATCCCGAAGAAGTTCAAAATGCCTGATATTCCAAAGTATGATGGCACAACTGATCCACGAGACCACATGACTGCATTCACAACTGGTGTGAAGGGCAACTATTTAACCAAACAAGAAATTGAATCAGTGTTGGTCAAAAAATTTGGTGAAACACTCACCAAGGGTGCATTAACATGGTATTCCCTTTTACCCGAAAATTTTATAAATTCTTTTGCTGAGCTTGCAGATTCTTTTATCAAAGCACATTTGGGAGCTCAAAAAGTTGAAAAGAGAATGGAGGATATTTTCAAAATCAAACAAGGAGATTCAGAGTTGCTTAGGGAATTCGTGGATAGGTTTCAGCGTGAAAGAATGATGTTACCACATGTACCAGATAATTGGGCAGCTATGGCTTTTGCCAGTAACTTGAATAAGAAAAGTTCAGAAGCCACGAGACGACTCAAGGAATGTCTGCGTGAATTTCCAGCAACAACCTGGAATGATGTTTACAACAGATACAGCACGAAGCCGAGGATAGAAGAAGACACTATCTCCCGATCTCAGAAAGAAGAGAAGGTGAGTTCGAGACGTTCAGAAAACGAAAAAAGGTCCGGTAAAAATAGGTACGAACCATATATGGGCCCAGCA